AGTCTCAGGTTTGATTCCTGGACTCAGCATCACATGTTAGTAGAGATTCCCTTCATTTTAGTTTATCTAGAAATAAAAAGGCTAAATACCCTGATTTATTTGTATCCAGTTCAAAAAYCAGCAGCAGCTTTTCGAAGATTTCTAACCGACTCTTGCAGAGACGCCATTGAGGCTGTTAAAATCAAACAGTAAAAGAAAAAAATCATTAAAAATCCAAAGTGGGGGTTGTGTTTTTTTTTTTTTTTGTTTCCCTTTCAAAGAGGACAACATTACAGAGAAACAAAAGAGTTACGTGTAGCCTATTAAAGAAGGAATATGGGTGTGCCTCTCACGTTTCTTTCGTGCACCACCCTTTTGGGTTGCTACTTTGATTATTTTCCTAATTTTATGTAATATCATTTGTTTATGTCCTTGTATCTTTCATTTACTATCTTGTTTTTTCATTGTGTAAATATTAGTAGTATCCCCAATAAAGTCATTAAAAAACATTCTTTAAAATACAAGGTTAGGGAGGGGGGTTCTCTTTTCTTTTTCTCAAGAGGACAGTTCACAGAAACAAGTCTTAGCCTAAGAAAAATTATTATTAAGAATGGAAGGAGGGGGATCAAGGGAACTGATCATTTGTTTTGATTTGCTAACAGCCAAGAAAAAAACCCAGAAACAATGCTAACTTCAAGGTCCCTCTTTGAATCATTAACTCATCCCTACATCTTAATCAATGCTACATTATTTTCAAGAGTGTTATTATTCTAACTCCACCAAAGAGGCAATAAGATGAGTCAAACATGCACCAAGATGRCCAGATAAGTTTTCAAAAGTCTTTTTTATCCAAAAACATGGAAAACGATATCCTACCATTAGTTTTTTACTTACTTGTTTGGCCTTGAATGGATGAGACACAAGCTCTGGGATGATTCCAAGAGTCTGAAAAACATGACATTTTTTTAACAAGACGCTCTTGGAGTGTGCACTGGGTTGCCCAATGTGCTGGTATGCTGGAGCTTGTATAACACCTAATCTTTGTTATGTACCACTATTTGGGAGTGGGTTCTTTGGAACATTTTAGGTCTATTTTTCTTTCAGAACTTGCAATCACTAATCTACTATATAAATAACTAGTCTCAAATTTTGCAACAAAAAAAAGGCAAAAATCTTTTTTGTTTTTGATCGTAGCACTGGTTAATGTCCTGTGAAGCCGGTCAGCAGCAAAGGTTCTTAAAAGGACTGTATACATCATGTATRTATAGGTGACTCTGTGGATCGTTACAGATTTTTCAACTAATTTTTCTCCATTAAGAAGCTATTGAAATAAATTGGAAGTTATTTGGATGTGACTGGAATGGATTGCAAGTGATTGGGCCTCAGTCAGTGACYGGATCTTGAATCAAAAAAAAAAGTTTTGAATTTTCACCTTTTGAAWGGCCATGGATAATCTTACTGTATAGCATAAACATGCCCAACTTCTAAAACTTGTTTTCCTCTTCTAAATGCCCGAATTTTGAGTGTTTTTTAATTTTGGAAAATCCGGAACCGTACATAGCTGGAATGGACTGGACTTCGGTTGGCTGGATTGTACGGAACTTAGACGTTTTTTACGCTGAATTTGCAGCTTTTATCCTATGATTTTAATTTAACTATAAATAACTAGTGATTCTATTCCTAAATTTWAAAAAATTGAATTAAAAATTGAATGTTAAGAATCATGGCACAAGTGATTTCGTGATTCTATTACGAAATTCTACAACAACAAAAATGCAATAAGACGCCTAATCTTTAACACCTAATATTTGTTATGTACCGCTATTTGGGAGGAGCGGGTACTTTGGAACATTTTAGGTGTATTTTTCTTTCAGAACTTGCGWACAACAAATTTGCTCAAAAGTGTACACCTTTGAAAATGTGTTTTATTTTAATAAGAATGTACTGCTTTTGTATATTGCATAGCAAGATATAAATACAGCAATATATAATATGTAAGATTTACCTTAACATCCTGGTATTTTGCCATCTCTATGATCATGTCTATAGCAGGTTCTCGAGTCCTTGGTGTCTGCAGATAAAAAACATGTATCACAGCACACAGTTTTATTCTGACCCTTGGTTTTGAAAAATTCCTTCAATTCTTATCCATGCCCTGAAACAACCTCTGGGCT